TTTTTTTTTTTTTGCCCTATGAAAGCTGTAACTGGTGTTTTAAACTCTGTCTTTACAGTTTTAATTGTATTTTAGGTAGTTCTGAAGGATGTATGGTATTAATACATCAAAATGTTTTTCAGAAATTAGTGATTTTTATGGACTTTCTTAAGGCTGTATTCTGGTTTGCATCATCCAAATGCTGTGGTAAGACTAACACTTTCAAAACCAGTCTCATATATTCATATATTTCATCCAGTTAAGTACTGACTAGCATTAGAAAACATTTCAAATGGTATTTAGAACTAAGGCTGACATACCATTAAATGTTTTTTAGGATTTTAAAGGATTCTCTTCAGTATTAATTTGATGGTTTAGCAATGGGAATTATTTAATTCCAGTATTACCACTAATTTTTTTATCTTACATTTACCTCAATTTCAAAGTTATGCTGTTTAATCATTAGTGATTTTCATATTGGTTTCACTAGTTCAGCTTTAGTGATCTGTAATTTCAATTTTCTTTTATATAAAAGGAAGAGTGAGTAATTTATTTCATTAGGTGACTTGAAGCAGAACCAGTGAGACTCGCTGGTGGTACAAACCAGTCCACAGATTGGTGCCATGCAAATTAACTCATGGATTCCCATGTGGAACAATAACTTGTTAGGGTCTTCATTGTTGATGTGTATTTTATCTGCAGCAAAACCTCACTGGATCCAGACGATCAAAGACATTGAAGTTGCTGTAGAGGACACCTTATACTGGGATTGCAGAGCAAGTGGGAAGCCCAAGCCATCATACAGGTGGCTGAAGAATGGAGACCAACTGTCAGTAGAGGTAACATTCTGTTTTGAAAAACATGCTGCTATGTAAAATTAATGGTACTTCATATAACTAATGGTTCACAAAAGTCCATGTAATTAGTCACAAGAAATATTTGATACTGTTTTTCATGTTTGTCAAGAGCATCCAGATGGAAGCTTCAAAAGCTACAATACCAGAAACACAAACAAATTATGTTGTACAAAAACATCCCGGGTAAAAGGAGATTTAAAAGCAATGATGGAACCATACAAATAAATATACAAGGAAATACTGGAGAAGGAAGTTCATTAAAGTTATATGTTAACAACCATAAATGAGGGATAAAGAACTTAAAATTATTTTGTTATACTTGCCATTGGCATTTCATTGAAGTTAATAAGAAAACATTTTCTTGGAAGTGAGGAAGAAAGAAAAAAATCCTAAAAATTCCTAGTACATCATTATGTGATGCAAAGAATGAAATATAAGCAGCAAGGTAACATAGGCATTTGCTTTAATAGAGTTGTTAAATCAAGTTAATGGAAAGTAATCAATTTTGTGACAGGGAAAAGAGGTTGTCCATAGAAGGTGAGATACTTGGTCTCCCAGATCAGAAATGCAGAAAAGCATCTGCTATCCATATTGATTTTAATTCTCACTGCTTCATTGGGAAAACTGCCCAGTTCAGGTAATCAGGAATATAAACTATGGGCACTATCCCATTGCAGGAAGGTATTTTGCCCTTGGCCGATGTGTTATGCTCAATGTTGGCACCTACAGTTGAAGATGGAAGAGCAACTGCTCAAGTGAATTCAGTGGATTACTGTGAAAACTGATCTAAGCACTCGAAAACACTTCTTGCCATTCAGAGTGCTGTAGGTATATGTTCACTAAAAGGAATAGCAGTGTTTTGTGGACAGGTTAAGTGGGGGATTGCAAAATCTCATCTCAGTGATTTAAGAGCATTGTTACCATGTCACACTATGTCACCAAGGTAATGCATTTTTTTTACCTCAGTAAGTACAAAAATACCTTCTGTCATTCAGTCTTCCCATTCCTTCACTTTTGAGCATTGGTGTCCTGCCTTTTGGCATGGTGTGAGGGCCTAAGTGTGACTTACTCTGAAAACATTTAAGGGCTGTAAACTGTAGGACAAACGCTTTGAAAGCCGGTGCTGAGGAGACGTTAGAAGAATTCTCTCTGTATCACAGTTGTCTTCAGCTCCTTTACTGCAATAATTCTTGTTCATGCTGGGTCTCCCTCTTCCACTTAGCTCCACTTCTCCAGAAGATAATCTGTTTTTAGGAAGAGTGAGGAGGGCAGCTTGGGATGCTAAAGAGAGGATCAAGACACAGAGACTTGGGCTTGTTCCTCTTTGGGATATTGTGCTTTGTCTAACCGGCTGAGCACCTTGCAGTAAACTGGGAAGGGACCTGTCAAGGTGGGAGCTGAGCTGAGCTGTCCTGGCTGTCCATAGATAGCCGAAGTCACCCTGCAGCGGGGGCAAATCTAAGTACCTCCCCTTAAGAAAAGGCTACTGAGCCACATCCAGATCATTTGGTTTCACTTCTCCTCCAGAAAAACCACAGAAGATGTTTATGAGCAAGTCCTTTGTTCTTATGGATTCGTTATTGTTTCTCTTGTTTTCCCCAAAGGAGAAGCTCCTTTGGTTTTGTCTTTGTCACTGGTTCCTTTTCTCACCAGTTCCTACCACCACTCTATCCTTCAAATTAATCACTTCTTACTGGAATTCATGTAGCTTTCCAAGAATAAGCAAGGTGAGAAGATCCCTATACCTCTATAGCTTTGTCAGCTCTAAGGCACTTAAACATGTATTCCTTCTAATAACTCTTGGAATCTTTTCTGCATAGTATTACAGAGAGCTCATTAGCAAATGGCATGTGTGAAGTCTCTAAATAGTATGAAATGCCAGTGCCATCTGTATAGTTTGGATACTCTGGTCTGTCGTGAGGAGCCTGGTATGATTTTGTCCTTATTTCTGGGGAAATATGAGGATATTTAAGATTACAAAGCCTCTGTGAAATCGAGCAAGTTTGAAGAGTCGATTTCATACACCGTTGACAAGTCTGTATTTGATCGCTGTTGCCATACCACGATGCAGTCGTGTCACTTATTTTAGAACTGTTCTTATGCTTATGCTGCTACATTTACTCCATTTTTTTGTATTTATGCTGTCCTATTTATATTTCTTACTTATTTTAAATTTTTCACAGGAAATATATCATCAATAAAGATATTTTTCTTAATATTCAGGGAAGGATCCAAATTGAAAATGGTGCACTTACAATATCAAATCTAAATCTGACAGATTCTGGCAGATACCAATGCATAGCTGAAAATAAACATGGTGTCATCTATTCGAGTGCAGAGCTCCGGGTTGTAGGTAAGCTTTTGCTTTTCCACTGAAACACAAACCTCATTCTCCCTCTCCACACACTCTCCTTCTGCCTCATATTCCACTTTGCCATGATCTCAAATTTAACTCATTCAGATGCTATCACTGAAATAAACATTTTTGTGAACCTGATATTTTTATCTGCAGTGCCGAGGAGTTGACTCATCTGCTTCCAGAGGATTTGCGGTCCAGTCATTCATTGCTTTAAAACAGGACACAGCTAAATTATTAATTAGGGGAAGAGCAGAGATGAGAACTTGGACACAGGCCCAAAGATTAAAACTGCTCCCGTGATCTGGAGCACATCAGTCAGCTGCACTCACCTTCTGCACCGCAGCCCCAGCACTCCCCGGGGAGCCATGTCATTTAAAAGCAAGAGGCTGCTCTCATGTGTAACCTTTCTCCACTGAGGGGACAAGGGATTGTCATTCAGTCATTCAAACAGTTTGTGTCTCAGTCTAAAATAACAACAACCATTTGTTTGAGGGAAACGCTGAGCTCGTGGCTGCCTTATGCACTCATGCTTGTGCGATTTCTACCTCCCAACATAGACTGATTTCAAAACTAAGCCTGTGAGAGCAGCGTGTTTTGGGGACATGAGTTATTTCCTTTATATTGTTACAGTTAGAGTTCATCAGCAGACTGCTCTCTCAGCCTTGGTGTCTGAAAATACGGAATTTCCTTTTGAAGTAGAGGTAGAAGTTAGTATAGGTAGAAGCCATGTGCCTTTTCTTAACTGTTAATGAAAAATACCCACTCAGAACGAGCCGCGCTGTAATTTTATGTCTTCTAATTTATCTGATGCGACATGCAGTCTTACTTGGCTAGAAGCCAACCAGTTCCTGGAGTTTTAATGAGACTGCTGGTGTTGCCTGGCGTCCCTGGACTGAGACAAGTCATGTACGCTGACATTTAGGAAAGCGTAAAGGTTGGGCATGTGCTTAAAGCTCACTGAGCTTCAGCTCAGATGAAGTTGGTGTGGTCTGTGCGTGGTTCGTTAGGCGACGCACTCTGCACAACTGAGGCCTTTACTTTTGTACCAGTATAAGGAGGAGAAATATCATAATTGTCCAATAGAAGGTCTGTTTGAACTGTTTCATGTTTTTAGTTATGTTTGGAATCTGAGAAGTGTCATGTAAGTGCTAAATAGTAGTATCATTAATATCATTAAAAGTGGTTTGTTTCACTATTACTATCCCTTTCGTTTTAGCTTCTGCTCCAGATTTTTCGAAGAATCCAATGAAGAAACTGATCCAGGTTCAAATAGGCAGCACAGTTGATTTTGAGTGCAAACCCAAAGCTTCCCCTAAGGCCAAGTGTTCTTGGAAGAAGGGAGGTGAGCAGCTACACGAAAATGAAAGGTATCAAGTTACTTTGGTTTTAATCTTACAAAAAGCTTCTTTGTGTCTTTTTATGCAATAGTGTCACCTGTAGATCCAGATAGTGGTGAAGTCTTTCGGAATTCTGTCTAGCTGAGCGGGGGGGGGGGGGAGGCGTTTTGTTGGGTTTTAACGGTCGGTGTATCTGAGCACTGAGAGTGCATGCATATTGCTTTCTTTAAGGTCAAGGGCTAGATGTTATTTTCAGTTTAATGTAGAGTTTGGCCTGATTTAGAGAGAACCAGGTACTGAGAGAAAACTGGGAAGGCAAAGCCTATAAAACAGTACTAAAAGCCTTCAACAAAATACTCTGAAAAGGCTGGCAAGGAGGCAGATGAGGGATATTACAGCCATGGTGATAATGTGGCTGAGAGGGGGGAGAAAAACAAACTAATTGGGAGGCCCAAAATTAGTAGATGAAAACACAAAAAGAAAATGAAAATACATTTTCGGGTTCCTTGCAAGCAACCATGAACTTTATCTACCAGTAATGATGTATGTCACCATCGCTTTAGTGTTCACATGAAAGTGAATGTGTTTTGGCATTAGTATTTCTCAGTGGAGAGGGTGTGATTTGCCTGTATCCCTAATTACTGACTTCCAACAACATGTAAACATTTTTCTAGCAATAACCATTAAAACACTATTGAATTAGTCATAAACCAAAATTGCCCAAGTTTACTGATTAAATTGTAAAATCAAACTGTGCAGAGGTGTACCTCTCCGTACTCTAGTGCAGCCTTTTGCTTTGCATCTCTCCAGCATTGGGGGCTTCTGCCTTTTCAAGCTTTCTGGTTTACGTTTTGGTATTTTCATGGACTGAGAGTTTCAGGTACTGAACTGGGACAGGAAAAAGACTCCTTGGATGAAAGGTGTAATTAAGGTAGTTACAGATCTGATTTAGCATGAAACTAAGCAGTTTGGTACTTAGGATATTCCAGCTGCAGCACTTCGGCACTCAGTACAGGCTGTAGAAACTCAGAGAAGCCGAATAACTATTTAGGAGTTTAGTCTGCCCTGAGGTCAGCCTTTCTGCAGCTAGTTGCTGGCGTATCTGAGTTAAATACAGACTGTAGTCACAGCAACAGCCGCAGAAAGTTGTAGGGTTTGCCTGGGAGCAGTGAGGACAGGATGGCTGCGAGTGTTCCTGTTGCTGTGCTCTGCTATCACCCTGTACTTAGCAAGAAAATTCAGGGACAGTGGTATCACTGAAGTGTCTGAAAGTCCAGACATGAGACTGAGAAAACTTTGGTTTTGAAGGAGGATTGCCATGGCAGTGTGTTGTGATTTCATGCATGTCTCCCTGATCCTCTAGGACTTAGTGTTAGGTTGTACAAAACTTAGCCTCTCATCGGGAAGTTATTTCTGAACCAGATTTCATTCTTCTAGTCCTATTCCTGTAAAACACCACATCATGGTTTTGTTTTGAAATTTGTAAGTGCTGCCAGGTAGATCAGAGCTTTCAGAGGCTGCAATAGAGACCATTATTCACTCCATTGTTAAGGCTAGAACTCTTTCCTTGCACCCAAAAGATTTGGGCACTTTGTTGTCACCTTGATCTGTGCAGCTTTGTCTCTTTCTTTACAGGGACCACAATAGTTTTCAAGTGTTGTCAAATGGGGCAATTTGGCAGAAGGTTAGGCATCTGTCATTGCAGAGCTTGACATGGTACCACAGACTTGCTAGCTGGTTGCATGCCTGCAAGCAAAATCTCATTCAAAATAACACTAGTTGTTTTTTCTTTCTGCGTGAAGCCTCCCTTCATCTTGTAATGCCATAGTATCACGTTGATAAGTAAGTGTGTAACACAGGGCTACAATGATCTCTAAAACTCATGTGAAACCTGTTTCTTTTGATGATTCTCATTTGTTCTTATTTTTATGGTCACTTTTATAAAGCATGTACATAAATGCATAGCACTTGATGTTCTCCATTTAGGAAAACTGCTAGGTTTTGTCCCCATACCGTTTCTATAAAAAGGCAGGAAGAATGGTATCCTTCCTGTTCCTGCCTGTTGTCAGCCTTCAGATAACCTGTGTGGGTTCAATTCATGATACTCAAAGCTGCCAGGCATGCCTGGACCTTACAGGGCTCCACACATGTCCAAGCAAAGAGCATTCCAGCCACCACTTCAGCGTTGCTTTGTGAGCTATCTGTCTGGATAGGCGTCAGATCTGGTCTTAATGGTTGCTTAGGATTGTCCTTCAAAAGCAGGACCCCCCAGTTTCATTTGTGGTGATGGTACCAGTCTAAAGAAGGTTATGTTCAGTTTCTGAAAATGTATTGATCATACATGATGCTGCCTGCTTAGATTTACAAACATAAATTATGGTTTGTAGTTCTGCAAACTGCAAGTGTTTCCAAAATATGGCCCAAAGTGTCTCCCACTATATTTTTGACAGGACACTGTAAATGGCTTACTGAGGAAACATAATAACAAGCCAATAATCCTGAATTAATCTAAATGAAGTACACTCACCTTCAGAGAAAAGCAGAAACATGATTCTTCACAGAAAGTACTGGGGATCATCACTGTCTGCTATGAATAACTGCAATTCATGAATTTCTTGCAGTTCTACAACTCCTGCAGTTCAGGAAACTTTCCAATTAGCGCTATGTTTTTCAACTATTAACTACATTTCTAATGAAGAAGACTCTTGGGAGAGGTGTCGTCTTTAATGGCAGAAAAAGGGAGGAATGAGTTCCCAAAAGGGGTGATGGTGGCCACAGAGATCCAGCATGCTCCTTACCTGTGGAGGGAGGGGAGGCAGAATGAGCTTAATGACATTTGGAGCTCAGACCTACAGTAGGGTTCAGGCTCACAGAGCGCTCCTTAGGAGAGACAGAGATGGAGTGTGAGATGGAGACTGCCATTCCCCTCCCTTACAATTCCTATTTGCTTGTAAAGAGCAAGAAGGACATCACAGTCTAGAAAGAGTGCAGCAAGTTATTTTGTCTCCATGAGTCAGGTCCCGCAAGGGACCAGCTCTTGCACTATATCCAGTGTGAATAAATACATGTATTGTTTCCCAAATCTATTTGCCCTGACTCGATAAAACCATATTCTTGTTGATTTGGGTAGGTCTGCTTGTGGTGCAGTGGCGTTACTCCATGTTGGTAGAGAATGGGCACAGCGTAATGTTTTGGGTTTTGTTGTAAACATACACAAATGTTGAAGCATTTCCTCTTCTGAGGGTGTGTAAGCACACTCCACCAGCACTATGGTATAGGACCATGCAGGTTTGGACTGTACCTAAACTGGGAAGGCTTTCTGGAAGGCTTAAAGGCCAAACGTGGCTTAGCATGAGGTGAGGGTAGAACTAGTTCTTAATGTCAGCTGTAAAAGTGTAAAAGTCAGATAAGATGCAGCAACACAGATGATGGTATGTTTTAAGAAAATTCCCATTTCAATAATAAAAGTGAAGCACAAATACAGCATTGCTTCAATGTATTCATAGTATTTTGTCGTAAGAGAGCTTATGTTTTCCTGGAGGTGAAGGCTTAGAGGCCAAACATGGCTTAGCATGAGGGTAGAACTAGTCCTTAATGTCAGCTGTAAAAGTGAAAAAGTCAGATAAGATGCAGCAAAACAGATAGAATCGGTATGTTTTAAGAAAATTCCCATTTGAATAATAAAAGTGAAGCACAAATACAGCATTGCTTCAATGTATTCATAGTATTTTGTCGTAAGAGAGCTTATGTTTTCCTGGAGGTGCTCACCACATTGCTTTAGTAAGCCTGAAAGATTTTCATTTTGATGGCACTGTTGCTTGTATTCTTAATTTATTTTTAAATGGTGCTGCATTTTCAGTATGTAGAAGATTTGGATAATGACTCAGTAAATTTTAATTAAATGAGCTGAATGTGTGTCATGTCTTGTGAAGGGAAGAAAATACAGTTCAAAATGGATTCATGAGCTCTGGACTGAGAAATAGCTCAACATTGAAGAATACAATCTTGCTTCTTGTTAGTTTTACAAAATATGTGATTTTTTCTATTTTTTTTTTTTTAGTATCTTCAGTAGAGTTAGTAAAGAGCAGTGGAATACAGAGAGAAGCGAAAGCATAGGGGTCACTGCAGAACACGCAGAAGGAAAGACAGAAAATGGGAATTAAATTAATTTGGTATTGAAGGGAGATACGCTTCCCACCAGAATGCAGTTTTGAACCTTTGAAATATATCATTTTGGGTGATGCAGTGAGCATAACAATAATGAATTAGCAAGAATTCTTGTCTGTAATGACTGCCAGATCAGGTACTGAGGGTACTGATTACCTGGCACACGTAATTTTTCACCCCTTGTTATGGTTGTAGTGTGTACCACCACACTGGGTGCAGCTTGTACTTGCTCAAGCTATTCCTTGCCAACCATCTCATATTATAAGGCCTTTAAAAAATTTATCTGAAGTACATTTTATCTGCAGTCCTTAAGCCACAGATAGATTAAAAAATTTATCTGAAGTATGTTTTATCTGCAGTCCTTAAGCCACAGATAGGTTTTGTTTATTCCAAATCAATCTGGAGCAGCGTCTACTGGTAGCAGACCATAGTCCCCAGGGTCTCCAGGTAGAGAGAGCAGAGGATGCAAACCATAGTTGCCCTCACATATGTTGTTCTGTGTTGAAAAGCTGACCTGCAACACCTCCATCTCCACATGGATGAAGTTTTTATTTTTCTTTTATCCTTAAAAAAAGGAGAATTAGTCATTTAACCAAGGTTAAATGCACTTCACGCTAGTTTAACTCACCAAACCATAAGACATACCAAATATACTACGCATTTAACCAAGGTTAAATGCACTTCATGCTAGTTTAACTCAACAAACCATAAGACATACCAAATATACTACAACCTAGTAAACCCCTTTAAAGATTTCTTTAAATGTTTTATGTATGTATATGATTTTTAATTGATGTATAATTAGATATATATTATAGATTATATGTAGATTATATATAGACAGTTGCTGCGTGTTGGCTCTA